GCGATTGCTGTTACAGTTCGCGTCGCGTACGCGGCGATAAAACGATCACGAGCTATCGCGATCGGGGATATACGTCGGCGCGGATAACAATATACATATTTCTAATCGCGATATATTGATCGCGCGCGATAAACAAGCGTTACGTAAGGCCGGAGAACCCGTTGGCTGGTTCGACGATCGATCCGACCGCCTCGCTCCGAGATTCGTAGTTTCACGGATTGGATCGGAGGCGTGTTCGTCCCGAGGACAACAACGTGTGTACGTACACGGATCCCCGGCCCTCGGCGACCGCTCTTAACGTATACATGCATGCAACAAGGCAGATGAAGACACGCGAGTGCGGTTAGACGGTCGGCTGTAACTCGAGATTCGCGCTTCGTGTTTTCCTGGATTATAAATTATTCCGGTGTCCGCGGAAAAAGAAGCGTGGTTTCTGTAATCGTGCACCGCCTTTTAGAAAGCGCATATGTAGATTGCACGTCCCGGCCCGGATCGGCCCGGATCGGCCCGCCGGAGCTCCCCCGAGGCACCTCCGTCGAGCTCGTTCCGATTCGAGTCGCAAATTTTCCGAGACCCGGAGGAACGCGACCTAACCCTTCCTTTCGCCTGGAGGAAAGCCCGAACACGGTTCTCGAACCGGTCGTGTTCGTATGAAACGTAACAGCGCGCAGCGAGCGTTCCTCGACGACAATGGTCTCGGTCATTTACCATAATGTCACATTGTTCCCGGGCAGCGTGCTCGCGGAACACACCCACGACTCCGTTTCGCCTGTACGGTAGAAGACGGATACGGGCGCGCAGGCCTCGATGATTATTATAAAATCATTTTCCTTTCTACCGCGCCGTTGCACGAACCTCTCTCGACAAGCAACCGAGCATTGTTGGCCTCCAGTTACGTCCGTCGTTCGCGAAACGGTATACCGCTGTGTACGAGCGCAGCGTGCGTTTGCGGCTACGAATCCTAAGGAACGAGGTCAGCTTACCTTTTATCCTCCTCGACGGATCGATTCGACGTACGCCCGACGTCCGCCTCGACGCCCTCTCCGGTGTCCGTATCTTAACGGGGGACATCACCTTAACGGTTCAAAAAATCGATTTATTTTCAACTTCTTAACGCTGAACCTACCAAGCAGCAATGCTAACTGGCATGTACTGCTTCAGAAAAGTGAGAGGACCGAATTTATTTAGAATTTGTAAAGCTTTTATTATAAAACTTGCTCCAATAATATAACTTATTCAGGCGTTTTACACGAAAGAGTTTTGGAACTTTGAAGAATTGCAAAATAAGAAAGCGGTCGCTTTGACCGCGGTAGGTTTAGTGTTGAAGCTTTGTGTGCGTGGAATGTCTAGATTGCGGGTTTTTTTTATGTAAATTAGAAATTGTCTGCATGAATTGCGAGGAATGGAGACTGAGTGGTTCTAGTAAAAGTCTGTTGAGCATGAATGTTATTTCGTTCGTTTAGGTTGGAATGAAGTTCTGTTCTTTTTTCCGCGATATTTAAGTATTCAAGGAAATGTTAGCATACAATAAATATGAATTTTCTTTTTCTTTTAAGAAATTATTATAATCGAGACACTTGGAGACATCGTAACTGGGAAGAAAATGGTACGACAAGGTGTTGATTCTTTTAATAGATTAAAAATAATGGAATGACACTTTTAGAGACCTTTAATCTTTATAATATTTCCAATTATAATTGCCCAATTTTACCATAAATTGCATAAAATCCGCAGTCTAGTTATGTCAAAGCGATACTGTAAATTCTTTCCAATTATCTCTCAGCTTATAAACAAAGATGGATAATATGGGAAGAAGTTTTTATTTTATTTTAGAGTTTATTAAGAGTTTTTATTTAAGATTATTTATTTTTATGTTACTCATTATTTAAGAGTTTTCATTTTTATTTTATTTATTTTTATTTTACTCTTTATGTAAGAGTTTTCTAAGATTATTTATTTTTATTTTACTCTGTATTTAAGAGTTTTTATTTTATTTTATTTATATTTATTTTACTCTTCATTTAAGAGCTTTTATTTTATTTTATTTATTTTTAATTTATCTTATTTATTTTATTTACCCTTTATTTAAGAGTTTTTATTTTATTTTATTCTGTCAACAAGTATATATATAAAAACGAGCCGTGAGGCTCGAATAATCGTATCTCCTCTTCACAAACTGTCCATTTTTGTATACAAACTGTGGGACAATTGGAAAGAATTTACTATACTTCGAAATTCGAACATTTCGCGACTGAAGGTAAAATCTAACAAATCTAACTTAAATCACGAAACTTCTTTCATGTTTTTCTCGGCACTATATTTTTCAACCTGACCGACGCATAGCTTCGTCATAAAAAAAATCCCCCAAAATGAAGAAAGAACGCGCCCCTTAACCCCTTGCACTACGACTTCTTTCGCAGCTACCTCGATCAGCTGTCCTTCGTCCTCAATCATCACCCTGACATAACGAGACAATTTTTATATCTTGTATGTCACCATTTACTTCGGTTCCTAGATCTTGATAACAGAACAATCAAATTTGACTTCGATTCAGAAGAAACGAAGAATGCTTCCATTCAACAGATTACGTAAAAAAGACTCTTCGTCACGAGTCTGACTCGTAGTTACGGTGCAAAGGGTTAATTGTCAAAGGAGATCGCCGAGGCTTCTACCTCGAGGATAGCCGCGGCTATGACCGTTCGAGGCAAATTATACGATCACGCCTCCCCGCGAGCCGTTGTCTTTCGGACGGATCTCCGTCTTGCTCGTCCGCCTCCTCTTGCTACCGTGGTATCGCGGACACATCCACTGGTAGAATTGCGAGGCGTAAAGATTGCGAGGAGGTAGGAAAGCGCTCGTCGTTAACTCTAACGGTTCACGGGGATCTCGGTAGTCTCGTCTATGATCTTACGGCCGCGATATCCGTTCGTTCTCGACGAGCGTAGGAACGCTTCTGCCTCTTCGCCGCTTGACCCCGCGAGCCTGTGCGCGGAGCGTCGAGCAATCACCTCCGAATCGATACAATTTTCATCGGCCGGAATGAATTTGTGTGTTTCTGGCGGATGCGAGAGGCTTCCGCGCGGGTCACACGCGATAGAGCCGGATGGGAGATCGTGAGCCGGCGCGAGTTTCCTAATAGAAAATCAATCGTTTTATCGAGGCCCGACGTCTATTGCTCCGCGGGCCTTATCACGCTCGCTGCCGCAGCGTCGGGAGACTCGCCGCTGCGCAGCGGGCCCCCTTTTTCTCCGCGAGTGTTTTTCCCCTCGTGCGGTTCTCCGGCGTTTTACATGGTATTATGGCCCGTAATCAGAGTCGTGACTACCGTTCGTTCGCACGATGGAGCCACTCGGGGGATTTCGTTCGAGGCTGTTATGGATGGAGCGAGGCTTAACTCGCGATCAACCATTAACCAAGATCATAGGTTAGTTGGGGTCGATACTCGTTTAACGCTTTTACCTCTGGCTAGATGCGTTAACGGATACCTAACCCATCAGTCCACGTTGGAAAGCGTTTCTACGTCGTGACCGTACGCGCGCATTTCCACGATGTGGTTTCCCGCGAACTTTCTTCCCCCGTCGGCTACCAAAATAAACCGGAGGCTGCTGAAACGCGAACGAGGGCCTCGAAGAAGAGGTGAAGCCACGGGGTTCCAAGGGTTTATGGGTATGCCGCGTGTTTTCATCGGATTCGGGACTGGTACCGAAACGTTCCGGTACCCGAATTTCAAATCGGCTCCTGACAATTTTCGAGTACCTGACGTCCTAAAAACGGGCTTGAGAGTGCTCCGGTAAATCCAGAAACTGTTTAGGAGGGTAAATATCAGGTTTTCCACGACTATCGTGAAAAAACATCGACGAAGACCTGGGTACAGTGGACCACAAAAGTGTTCGCACCCCTTTTAAATAGCAATTACTGTTTTATTAGTTGGAATGACAAAGAATATAATATTTCTTTTTTTATCCGAGCTTGTAACGAAAATTTAAAAAATGCCCTTCGCAGATCACAGCAGCTTACATGCATGGTGACAATTTTGTCGAAATCGGTTGACGTTGTTACGAGTTGCGGCAAATTAAAGATCGCAAAAGTCGCAGTTTTGTCACGATTTTTGACACTTTTCACCAAGAAGTGTAAGAAATCTGCAGTTTTATTAATCTTAATATCATAATATTAATATTAATATTAATATTAACATTAATATTAATATTATTGAATGGATTTCTTTTAGATGACTGAGGGACTAGTCTATATATTATTATTATATATTACTATTATTATTTATTGTTTAATACTAATGTTATTAATATTATAATATATTATTATATATTAAATATTAAATGATAATAATATATAATAATACAATATAATAATAATAACATTAATATAAAACAATAAATAATAATATGACTGAGGGACTAGTCTATATTATTATTATATATTACTATTATTATTTATTGTTTAATATTAATGTTATTAATATTATAATATATTATTATATATTAAATATTAAATGATAATAATATGTAGCAATACAATATAATAATAATAACATTAATATAAAACAACAAATAATAATATTAATAATATAGACTAGTCCCTCAGTCATCTAAAAGAAATTCAACTGACTTAGTCCACTTTAAAAAAAGTTATTGCGCTTTAAAAGGTATACGTACACTTTTGTGAGCCACTGTACACATCCTCGCGATCGTCAATATCACCGTAACTACGGCCCATTAATGTCCACGTTAAACATACGTTCTCCAGAGTCCAGAACTATCATTGCTGACCTATGTTTTATATGCAAAGCTGTACATGGTATGACCAATAACCCTAGCATCACTCGGCTTGTCAACTCCAATGCTCCTTCTCGTTTTGCCAGCCTCATTCTACTCATCGAGATTTAGTGCGATTGACCCTTTTTACAGGATATTTCAACTTGTCAACGACAACGCCGATAAAACGGACATATTTGCAGCCAATGTCACAAAATTGAAAACAAGTTTCCATAAACTGTTTACTCAATTCGCTGATTTGCTGATCATCTGTCAGTCTTAATACGATACATTTTTCTTTCGTATTGTAAAAATAGCGAGATATATATGTATATAAATAAATTAAATTATACATCTTGTTATTACATGCCAAAAGAATTGAGTCGCCATGAATGCAAGCTGACACATGCAATGGCAACTGCTCTCGAACCATTCGAAGCAGCGATGATTAGAGTTCAATGTTTTTATATACGTCGGCTCGAAATCAGGTAAAAAGCTAACGAAATATTTTTCGATTTTAAAATCTCGGATACCCGAAAGTATAATATTCGGGACCCAATGCGAACCCGAAAGTTTCACGAGCGCCAAAGTATTCGATGGTTGGCCGTCGTCGGCGCTCGTCCTTCTCGATCGCGATGCAAACGGAATCTGCAGGCTTTCCGGTGAACGGTGAGCCGCATTTATCACCGTCACGGAATCGTTTTACGCGTGTGCCGATCTCGCGAGCCGATCGGCTCGTTGCGAAGCCATTCGCGTCGATTCAGCGATCCCATTCGTCATCCATTCTTGTCGCAATCGAGTTCACCGCGGCACCGGTGCACCGGTGCACCGCGCCGTCGTCGATCGGTATCTCGACCGTGCTCCTAATTACAGGCAATTTCAAAAGACTCATTCGGCCCGAGATAAAAGCTCCTCGGCTCGCCGCAAGCGCGATCTCGCGAACGGGCAATTACGGTCGAAGGGCCGCGATAGGCTCGACTATGCTCGGCAAACTCATGCGGCACCGCTGCGATGTCGCAAGCTCGCGGGGTATCGACCTTTCGCGACAAGTGTTGCTCCCGATGCGCCACGGACGATCTCTTCGAGTGCTCGAGATCGAGCGATCGAGACCGCTCGCGACGACGAACGCGAAAGCGACGCGACGATCTGCGGCATTTTTCTTCGTTTATTTCCCACTGAACGGACAAAGATATCGACGACGCGGTACAAACGTTGCTATCAAAATTGGCGCGTCGTGTTCACGACGAGAGTCTCGGCAGAGCCTAGATACTATCAGGCCGATAATAATACTGTTGTAAAACGGAGTCGACGTTTGATCCGTCGATGTAGGTTGCCAGGAAAAATAGCCGACGGAGCGAATGGGTGACTGCAGGGGTCGGTGTATCGCAATCTCGCCTTCTGCAAAAATATCTCGCAGCAGCCTGTCCGCGTTCCCTTCCTCGGCACGAAGTTTAAATGTTAGCCACAATGGCGTGTCACGTCAGCTCGCTCGTGTCGAAACAAACGGCCGAGGGGTTCCAGCGAGTTAGACCTGTTCTACAGCTTGCACTCGTGTTCCCGGGAAAAGCCAGGCACGTTAACCGAATCGGGCCTAAGTAACAGGGGTTGGAAACAGTTATCATGTCGGTTTTCGTTCGCCGGACAGCTCTATCGAGAACCGAAAAAGACTCACAATTGTCGCGAGGCACAGTAAATTCTCCCCAATTGTCCTGCTTGTAAAGAAAATTGGACGATTTGGGAAGAGGAGATACGATTATGTATTTACGATTTATAATTATATATTGTACGATATATATTTTTTTATAGTTGTTGACAATTGGTAATTATTGAAAGGAGCCTCGAATAATCGTATCTGCTCTTCCCAAATGGTCCATTTTTGTGTAAAATTTCAGCATCAATTAGGGAGAATTTACTGTATTAGGTTGATCAATCGTTGTTTTTACTTTTAGGGGTAATTGTAGCTCGAGATGATATAAGCTTTTGATAAGTTGACGTTGTAAGAGTTATAGACTGCGGATTTTATGCATTTATGACAAGCTGAAGGACAATTGGGGAGAATTTACTGTATATCGGTTTCGGGTTCGGTCCTGCAGAACCCATATTATAGGGTGTCCCAAAAATGTCTCGCAATCTAGAAATAGCGGGTTCCTCAGATCATTTGAAGCAACTTCTTCCTTTACAAAACTTTCCTCCGAGGCACCGTTAACGAGTTATTAACGGAAAACAGTGACCAATAAGAATCGAGTACGGCTGACGCGAGGCGGCCCAGCCAATCAGCGCACGAAGCCCAGTTCCGCTCATTGGCTCGGTTGCCTCGTGCCAGCTGAGCTCGCCTCTTATTGGTCACTGTTTTTCGTTAATAACTCGTTAAACGTGTCTCGGAGAAAAGTTTTGTAAAGGAAAAAGTTGCTTCAAATGACCTCAGGGACTTGCCACTTTCGGATTGCGAGACATTTTTGGGACACCCTGTATATTGGTTCCATAACTGTAACAGAAACTATTGTAAATATATGTGATCATATTTATGTTATTATATTATTATATTATTATATTATTATATTATTGTATTATTATATTATTATATCATATTTATATACGTGATCTTATTTTTTACTGTATACTATGCAACAAATGTTTCTTCCCGTTGACATCAGTGAACTATCAATATTATTATTATAATTTTCGACTTAAATATTTTTATTGTGTCAATGTATTTATTGAGTAAAATAGAATTATATGCGAAATGCATGATCGAAACCCGGAACCGAATAATAACAGTTATAGAACCGACATAATATCGGTTCTAAAGAACCAGAACCGAAACTGACATAAGCCGGAACCGATAGACTTTATAACAGTCACGTGATCTTTTTGGTTCTTCGTAACTGTTTCGATTTCGTAATTGTACCGATATACAGGGTGGTACACCTAAACGTTTCTATTTACAGTCAATTTTCCCTAATTGACGCACAGATTGTACACAAAAATGGACAATTTGAGAAGAGGCGATACGGTTATTCGAGCCTTGCTGCTCGTTTTTATAGTCACCGTTTGTCAACAACTGTAAAAAATTCCTCTTCCCAAATTGTTCATTTTTGTGCACAATCTGAGCGTCAATTAGGGAGAATTTACTGTACATATCTCCTCCTTGAGCGGATTGGGAATTCGACTGGTATCAAGAGACAAATGCGATGCAGAAAGTAATCTTTTTCCAAGGTAATTTTGTCCCCTAAATTTTCAAGGTCATCGATGTTAATTTGCATGCAAGATCATATCTTCTGACAGCACGAATAATGACTTGATTTCGAAACGAACTTCGACTTCAAACATTAAAACGAAACGTGAAATTATTGTCTGCCGATATCCCAAGCTTTAAATACGAATGCGATAGCATGCAATGCAACAGGATGCAATATACAAAATATGCACACATACATGCAAATCAACATCGACGATTTTGAAAACTCCGACAAAAATAACCTTGAAAAGAAGCTCCTTCTTGCATCGTCCCCGTCTTTCGATATCAGTCGAGCTTCACGCGAGAACAATTTCTGCAACATCGCTACTGGAAGAGATACTTAGGTGCAAACGTTAAGATGCATCACACAGTGCAGCTCTTTGAAACGGTCATTTTCGGAACCTCTTCGATCCCGGCTAAATACTGATCGATGCCTGGGACGTTTCCAATTGGTTCTCCGTATCGAGGTCCTGCTCCTTGTCGAAGGTCTGCAGCGTGTCGTAGAGGATGATGTAATTGTCGCGGAGCTGGACCAGACGGTGCCAGAGGTTCGCGTGGATCACATCGGAAGGCTTGGTCGCCGCCTCCGCCTGGTTCGCCACCTGGACGAATCGAAAGTGGCGTTAACGAGCTGGGGAACGGCGATTGAAAATTGTCGTTACGGTCGCGTTGGTTCGAAAGGGAAGCGAGCGCGCGTTCACCGCGGCATGGAAACGGGGAACGTAACGGCTACAATTAGCGTAAAGGATTACTTTGTCGGCGGTGCGTGGCGCGCGATTCACTTGGAGATACTTGAGATGGAAGAACAGCTCGTAGGCCCAGCAATCGATGGTCTCGATTCTGCGGGTCGCGTTCGTCAGCATCTCGACGATCGGCGTCAACGTCGGCGCCGAATTCGGCTTCGGCTCGTCGGCCGGCTTCGACGGCCCGTTGTCGAACGCGACCGCTTGCAGCCAGCGTTTCAACTGATCGCGGGAAGAAAACGGTCGGTCAGCTCGGTCCCGGCGCGGAGACTCGAAAATCCACTTACGGCGGTGGTGTCGGCGATCAGTTTCACCGTGGCCGGTCGCATGATATCGATAAGATTTCCAATGATCGTGGTGTCCTTCTTGGCCGTGGTCACGTAAGTCGAGAGAGAGCTGTCCCAATTCGGCGAAGGACCGCACCGGGCGTGCCTCAGCTCGCGTCTGTTCGCCGATTTCAAACGAGCTTTATCTGCCGCGCGAGATAACAGTTCCCCGGGGAGTCTTTACCTTCGGAATAAGACCGCGATCACGTTGTCGACGATGTACTGCGACGGGCCGATCACAATTTTCTTGGTGCAGCTCGCCAGGCTGCCGAACAGAAAGGCCAGCAGCTGGCCCAACGGGCCCGGTCGACGTCGCACGCCGGACCCGGAGAATCCTCGTCCTCTGTAGCATCTTCTCTTCCAAACTCCGTGTCGTCCGCGGTCGTACATCGGCAAGGGACTGTAGCTCGATACTGCGCTTGCAAATTGGCGCAGTCAAAAACGCGCCTTGTTATTATACAGGGTGTCATGTAATTGGTAATACAACCGGATAGGGGCTGATTTATAGGATAACGGTAAGAAATAAGTCGAAAAAGAAGAATAACATTTTTTCATTCAAGGCTCTGGTTTCGAGAAAACAGTTTTAAGATGCGTCAAGTGCGCGTGGCTTGTACGACGAGAAGTAGAATTGGTTTGTCATGACCAGACGCGCCACTTGATTCCTTTTCAATAGTATTAGTTTTTCAATCCGCTTGTTCTCGAAAACGAGCCATTGAATGTATACAATGTAGTCTATATTTTCGACTTATTTTTTAGAATCGGCGCCTATCCGATTGTACCGCCAATTACAGGACACCCCGTACACCAGCTGTCCTTATCTTCGTCTGATCATGACTATGCGCATATTTCAAGCTATTTTAATTTAATGTCTCACGAACGCCGTCGTGCTATGCTCTCGATCTTGTTTCTGCACACATAAACTGATAAACGGTTTGATAACCGTCCCTGATATTCGAAGCGCAATTTTTTAACTTCGTGTCCCCTCCTTTACGGCCGGCGTAATTGTATCGACGGAATAATTAGAAATGCGAGCTTTTACAGCGACGACATTAATTTTTTTCTGTGATCATCAAATCCTCCGACGCAATTTGCACTGTGCACTCTCCAACTGAATTATTAATTTGTATTAGATTCTGTGATCTAAATGATACTTATATCACAGATTGAGCTTACACGCCCAGCGAGAGAAAACCAGTGAAGTTTGAAAAAATCCTCTTTTTAAAAAATATTTAATCATTTTCGAAAGTAACAATACGATTTTTTAACGAGTATATATAACGAGAATCATTAGGACTTTCGAATATGTAACAGAAACAAATACAAGTAAATTTTCAGAAAGGTGTTGGTACCTGTCCCGCGCGTAGAACGTGTCAATAAATAAATAACGAATAGATAAGACTAAAAACAATCGGATCGCTGTTAATCGCGCTACCGTAATCCAAAACGCTGTTCGATTCCCAATTCCTCGCGATGCTGGACAGAGTCGAGTGACACTTGGCTTTCCGGCTGGAAGCATTCTCGATGTATCTGCTGGTCCTGACAGAGTCTGGCATGTACTTGTTCACGTGGTCGTTCAGTTCGATGATCTTGGCCGGGAACGTTTCCAGACAAGCGATCGCCTGCGTCGTAACAAAGTCAGCACCGCGAGGGTTAGCCGTATCGTAATGACATTATGCACTGTACTTCTCGATGCAGGCGCTCGAGAGTCGAGGTCTCGCCATCCGTCTCCGAAGCCATCGCAGCGGTGTCGTTAACAGGTAGCTTAATGAGCGTAACTGATTACTCCACGTAAATTTGGACCAACGTTCATCTTGGTAACCCCGAGGGACCAAAACCAGCGACCTCGCCGTGCGAGTTGCGCGTACAGAACTCGGCGGGATTTCGACAACGAACGATCGCGATCCCCGTACGCGAATCTATCGCCGAACCGATTTCGATTTCGATGTCAATTTCGATTTCGATGGGTGTATAATTAGGGTTCAGACCGGTACCGCGTCGATACCTATTGATGCCAGTTGATAAATTTCGATCCAATATTGTATCTTATCAAAGATGCAGGTATCAAACAGGATCGATGGCTCTTCAATACTTGGTCTAAAATATCGATACCTGACTTATACATTTACGAGAATATCGATACTTGACCGATATATTTACGGGAATATCGATACCTGGCCGATACATTTACGGGATCCTCGATAACTGACTGATACATTTACGGGAATATCGATACCTGACCGATATATTTACGGGAATATCGATACCTGGCCGATACATTTACGGGATCCTCGATAACTGACTGATACATTTACGGGAATATCGATACCTGACCGATATATTTACGGGAATATCGATACCTGACCAATATATTTACGTGATCCTCGATAACTGACTGATACATGTACGGGAATATCGATACCTGGCCGATACATTTATGGGAATATCGATACCTGACCGATATATTTACGGGAATATCGATACCTGACCAATATATTTACGTGATCCTCGATAACTGACTGATACATGTACGGGAATATCGATACCTGGCCGATACATTTATGGGAATATCGATACCTGACCGATATATTTACGGGAATATCGATACCTGACCGATAAATTTACAGGAATATCGATACCTGACTGATACATTTACGGGAACATCGATACCTGACCGATATATTTACGTGATCCTCGATAACTGACTGATACATTTACGGGAATATCGATACCTGACCGATACTTTTACAGGAATATCGATAGCTAACTGACATATTTACGGAAATATTGATTCCTGACCGATACATTTACGGGAATGTCAATACCTAACCGATACATTTACGGGAATATCGATACCTGACCGATGCATTTACAGGAATATCGATACTTGACCTATACATTTACGGGAATATCGATACCTGACCGATACATTTACGGGAATATCGATACTTGACCGATACATTTACGGGAATGTCAATACCTAACCGATACATTTACGGGAATATCGATACCTGACCGATACATTTGCGGGAATATCTATACCTGACCGAAAAATTTACAAGAATATCGTTACCTGACCGATACATTTACAGGAATATCGATACCTAATTAATACTTGTACAAGAATGCCAATACTGGTACGCCCTCTCGTGTGTGTAAAATTTTTACGAAAGTATCAATTTACATAGAACGAAAGTATAAATACTAATGCGGCACACACAAGGAAGTAGCAATCGATAAAATCAATGGGAATTCTTTCTATGGTAATGATGTTACAACTATTTTCTCCAATTAAGAAAACGCAACTCCGTTTACTAAGATAATTCGATGCAGCATCAAATGAGTATAATTAATAACGCATGTTATTAAACAGGTATTTACAATTCCGTTAGGTATCGATTCGTTCGTGAAGTATCAAACGGATATCGATACTTTCAGGAAGTATCAAAGGAACGTCGATTTATTGACGAGCGATACTAAGTGTCTAAAATTTCGATACATATCGATACCCGTTATTAAGTACTTTGGCATTGAATTGACTAAATATCATCGGTGTCGATTCCATCATTAAGTATAGGACAAGGGCCCCAATTACCGAGCTTGTACCGGAATACCGTCATTTTCATTGATTTTAACAATATTCATAATAATATGACAGGCAATTACAAGCAGCGAAGTTTTAATATAACATTTGATGTTATATCAAGAGAGTAGAACTATTTAAGTATTCTACTAGTTCTCACTGTAAGTTTAAAAACAAAATGATTAAAAGGTACTAATTGGTGTTTGCCGCGAACGATACTTTTCGCTTACTTACATGATTAATATACGGGGTGTCCCAAAAATGTCTCGCATTACGGAAATGTGCTGTACGGGTGTAGCTGAGGTCATTCTTCACAATTCTTAAATATACATATCCGTCGTGTTCTTTGACGCGACTTATTATTGAATTAGCTTTGCGAATCGTTCGTAGAATTCTGTTTGGATACGGAATTATTGAAACGAAAATATCTTTTGCGTGAGTTTGACTTATTGATTATTAGGTGAGCTTTTCTTATTGTTAATCTTCACTGTAATCGGCTCAATTAATAATTAACACGTTCCGTGCCGAGCTTTTTTTACTCGAATCTTCACACTTTGATATTTTACTAAAACTTGATGTATTACGTGCAATTATTAATTCTCGTACACATAACAACGTAACAAAAACTTATCAACGCCCATTCTTGCGGTGGAAATTGATTCTTCGGTTCTAAATTTCTTGTAAACAATTTGTTCAGTTCACTAAGTAAACATGCAAGCGTGTACCATCGATGGTACACGTGGCACGGAACGTGTTAAAACGGCTGTCACAGTTAAACTACTTACTATTTCGGCTTCGAAAAATTAGTAAATATTCTTCAGACGTTCTAAAGTAAAGGTGAACAGCGTTTTTCTTAAAAATATCACTGTTATGTAGTAAAAAATGTCCGGAAAATTCACGCTCCGTGACTTGTTCAATAATTCGAACGCGGCTCGAATCCATCCCGATCTTCTGTCAAAGCCACGTGTTGCGGGCTCTCGAACTTCGCGCCATCGCCTCTCATTGGTCACTGTTTTTCGTTAATAACTCGTAAACAAAGCCGCGGATCGCGTTTTCGCTAAGGAAAAAGTTGCTTCAAATGACCTCAGGAACCCCTCATTTCTCGAAAATACGATAATTTTTGGATACCCAGTATATAAATGTTGAATTGTTCAACAATTCAATTCAACAGTTTAAATATTTCTTGACATAACCTTATTAAACATTCTGTTGTGCAAAAGCAATTAGTTTTATTTATTTGCCGATTTAATACCAGATTTACACACAGTGAAAGCTGCTGTTTTACATTGCTTTGTAACAGTATTATTTCAACGAGTATTATTCGAACATTACTTATTATCGGCGTTGTTCTAAATTCGCAAACTAAACGATCGCAAACGAAATAAACTGCTGACCCGTCGCCTAATGTGAGATCCTCTGGGTCAAAGTTGACCTAGCCACGCCTCGCGAGGGATAAACAGCCGGACGTGTACGAAGAATGAAATCGATTTTTCTATTCTCGTCCNGTTCCGTGCCGAGCTTTTTTTACTCGAATCTTCACACTTTGATATTTTACTAAAACTTGATGTATTACGTGCAATTATTAATTCTCGTACACATAACAACGTAACAAAAACTTATCAACGCCCATTCTTGCGGTGGAAATTGATTCTTCGGTTCTAAATTTCTTGTAAACAATTTGTTCAGTTCACTAAGTAAACATGCAAGCGTGTACCATCGATGGTACACGTGGCACGGAACGTGTTAAAACGGCTGTCACAGTTAAACTACTTACTATTTCGGCTTCGAAAAATTAGTAAATATTCTTCAGACGTTCTAAAGTAAAGGTGAACAGCGTTTTTCTTAAAAATATCACTGTTATGTAGTAAAAAATGTCCGGAAAATTCACGCTCCGTGACTTGTTCAATAATTCGAACGCGGCTCGAATCCATCCCGATCTTCTGTCAAAGCCACGTGTTGCGGGCTCTCGAACTTCGCGCCATCGCCTCTCATTGGTCACTGTTTTTCGTTAATAACTCGTAAACAAAGCCGCGGATCGCGTTTTCGCTAAGGAAAAAGTTGCTTCAAATGACCTCAGGAACCCCTCATTTCTCGAAAATACGATAATTTTTGGATACCCAGTATATAAATGTTGAATTGTTCAACAATTCAATTCAACAGTTTAAATATTTCTTGACATAACCTTATTAAACATTCTGTTGTGCAAAAGCAATTAGTTTTATTTATTTGCCGATTTAATACCAGATTTACACACAGTGAAAGCTGCTGTTTTACATTGCTTTGTAACAGTATTATTTCAACGAGTATTATTCGAACATTACTTATTATCGGCGTTGTTCTAAATTCGCAAACTAAACGATCGCAAACGAAATAAACTGCTGACCCGTCGCCTAATGTGAGATCCTCTGGGTCAAAGTTGACCTAGCCACGCCTCGCGAGGGATAAACAGCCGGACGTGTACGAAGAATGAAATCGATTTTTCTATTCTCGTCCGCGGGACAAACGCACTGCGCGGGGCGCTCCGATTATTAATAAAACGTCGGCGGCGTTTCCGCGTTCTCCGACAGTGTAACAGGAAAAAGGAGCGGGACGGACGCACACAACTTAAACAGGGTATTTAGAAGCGCGCATATTGAAAAGCCGTGGATAGATGTTGCGTAGATACCGGGCCCGCGGTTGTATTATTACGTACACACGGGGCCCGCTTTCTGCGAAACAGAGGCCCAAGATAAATAGTGTAACGAGCGATTCGCCGTGCGGTGCACGGGTTGCGTTCAAAAGCGGACGGTTAATGAGAATGCAATGGGCGCCTTAACTCCACCTAGGATCGGCGAGCTCGAAACGGATGTGCTTCCAGATTTTTCCTAATTAAGATGTGGCCGGTGCAACTCCATTACGTAAAGCAACCATCTTGATTTACCGTTCAACTCGACGGCGATCCGGCCGCAACAAAACCTATATGGCTAGCGAGAGAATTGGAAGCACTCGAAAAGAGGGACGAGCGAAGGGCTGCCGGTTTTCTTCCACCTTCTTCTACCTGTTTTTCGTGCTGCTCCGCCGGCGAAGCAACAGCACCGGCACCCAGCATCGCGGCACCAGCGACCGACCAGCGATATACCCCAGCAAACCCGTCTCGTCCTCGTCTCGCCTCCTCGGCATCTCCGCATCTTCTCCGCGTCCCTTCTTCGTCGTCCGTGTCCGCGAGTTTCGCGGAGGTGCCGAGGTGAGATCTCCTCAAAGATCTAGCAACGACGCACGACGGCCGCTATTACTCGCAGCGGCAACGGCTCGCTGGAATGCGAT